CTGGTGGGCATATTTAGTGCAGAAGCCAGAGAAGAAGCCCCGTACTATCTTAGTACTAAAATCTACATTACAACAATACGGGAAAAATATCATCACTGATTTTATTGGTGACAAAGTCTTGGGATCACACCTCCATTTCGCAACGTCAGATTTGGAAAAAATTCTTAGATGCTTTAATAGTGCTATTCAAGCTCGAAAGCTTATCGTTATGAATGAAACTGGAATGTTGAGTGGAGAATGGCATAGATTTAACGGACATCTCAAATCACTTATAACAGAACGAATGGTAGCCATAGAGCATAAGGGCCTTGAAACTATACGAATAAATGATTATGCTGGGTATATGGTTACAAGTAATCAGGATGCCCCACTTAAAATAAATATAGGAGATTCTCGTATAGTCTGTTTTGATGTCTCTGCATGCTGTAGAGGTAATATACCATATTTTGACCGGCTGGAGGAAATTCTAGACCATCCTGATGCACCAGGAGTAGTCATATCATACCTTCTTAGCCGTAATTTATCAAATTGGAGTCCTGAAAAAATTCCTGCAACCAAAATGAAAGTAGATATAATGCGTAAACAGCTTCCAAATCCTATCCGATTTTTAATTGACCACATTGCATCTTGGGTTGAGGATAGTGTACTTATGTTAAGTAAGAAAGTATTATATTAAAAATATCTTGAATGGTGTAGGGATAATGGTGAAAAGCCATTATCTAACAATATTTTTGGTAAGAAGCTATCGGAAAAAAATATTATTGAGTGTAAACAGGGACGAGTAGGTAATGGAAAAAGGGAATAGCAATATATTCTTAACTGCTCTAAAATTATAGCTAAGCTTCGTGAGTTTGGCCTAGGCGATATTGAAGAATTCTCTGACATACCTCAATCTGATTTACCTGAAAATGAGACAACAGATATACCAATATTTAATGTGCTGGAAAATGCTTCTTCAAAAACAGCTCTGTCTTGACCAGAAAAGATTCTTTCACCTAGTGATAAACAGGACAATGTAACCCAAGCTCTATTCGACTATATGATAGAAGAAGCTGAAGCACCAGTTGCTTCAACATCTGGGACTTCCAAAACTTCTAAGATGTCTAACCTACCTGAGCCAAAAATTGATGAGTGGTCTTAAAAGGACCAGTTTGAAACTAGCAAGCTTCCCAAACCTATTGAGCCTATAAGTGGAGTGGTGTCTGATACGCCTCCTAAAGAAGCTGATTCTCTCAAGCCTATCAACAAAGTACTATCTGCCATACTTCTATCTAGAGCTAAGTGTGAAGAGCATCTTAGAAAAAGGGCAATCGAACTTGGTGAGAACCCAGACATTTTTATAACTATTACAGAAAAGGACAGGCTCGATTCCACTGCATTTCGTTATAAAATGGAAATGGATGCACGAATGTGTAGTTTTGCAAAAGAGAGCGAAGAAGACCCTAAAGAATATATGGACATGACAGTACGGGAAAGATTAATAGGAGAAGAAATAATCCGTCGTGATCTTGAGGATAAGGGAGTTATATCTTCATGGCTCGATACCGATGAGGAATGGCAAAAAAATATAAGCATACTCCAGGAGAATGGTATGCTTTGGTAAAGAGCGAATTATTATTATTTTTTTCAAATTAAAAAATAACTAGATTAATATATAACTAGATAACACTTACTATCGGCATAGCTATGAAAACAGCTACCCCAAAGACCTGAAAACCTAAAGTTAATAACTTTGTATTGGTCTTAGAGCAGTTCCTAGAAAAGCATAATCTGACGGCCGACTCTACCCCAAAACAATTAAGCAAACATGCTCCCAAACTTGATGCTTTACTTCTCAATTGGATGGCCTGCAGGTGTGTTAAAGTCACCCTTGGCAGAGGCACTGATAACAGGCACTCATTTAGTGAAGAGCAAATAGAGGCTCTCTTACCAGATAAAAGAAAAGGAAAACTCACTATAGAGAAAAGGGCAAAATATTGCGCTAAAATTGGTGATGCTATGGATATTTTCGCTCATCATTTAGATTTAGGCCCGAAAAATGATTATGAAAATAAAATAGTCGTCAGTAGTTCACGTCAGTCACAATTTCGTGTGAAGTTAGCAAAAGGTGGGGTAAGTTCTAAAATTATTAATACCTATGCCAAAGATCCAGAACTTATTCAAGAGTCTAATAAAATTCAGAAAAAGCGAACTAAGAAACAAATGGCTAATCCAGATAGAATTCCCATACATTTTTCCTTAGCAAATGTGAGTAAAAGGATTCAGAACATGGATGTTTCCAAAATTCCTACTAGAGAGGATCTTGTGGATATAATTGTGATGTTGAGTATGAGACCTGCAGAAGTAAGGTCTCTTCAAATTAATCACTATGAACTGGATCCTTCAAACATTCCAGCGTGGTACAAAGATGGCTATTTCTGGTATTGCACAGGTTATTTAAAGAGTAGAGGAAAAAAGAAACAGAATCCTGAGCCTCGACCATTTCTTTCCATGGAGAAGAATCCGGAACGCGCCAGGGAATTACTCATCTGGATTCAAAATGGAATTAAGGCAAGAAAGTTGCATGATCCTGTCTTTACTGAAAGTGGGACGCGTAATACTTGGCCATTTAATAAATTCTTAAAGCAAGAACCTTATAGAACCATACCTAAAAAGTTAAGAGATTATGGTGGTAAGCATGCTTTCAGAATTCACGGTGGCCCAAATTCAACCCCCCAACATCTCAGCCTTCTTACGAGAATTGCACTAAGACAAGAATCAGATCATCTTGATGCAGGAAATAATTATGCTATAGGTGATACAGAACCGGAGGAGTCTGACTCTGAACCAGAGACAAGCGACAATCCAAAACCCCAATCACAGGCTTCTTCGGCATCTCAGACAATAGAAATAGATTCAATGTTAGCTGAAATTGATGCAATGTTAGCTAAAATTCAGAAATAAATGCCCGAAGACGGGTCCAGAGTGGTGACGTGAACGTCGCTAGTTTGGTATAAAGGCAACTTCTCTATAATCATTAATTACATTGCGTTTAACTACAAGTTCTTGACAACACAACGCATCTATAATACAATAGTTTGCTACCTTATACATATTTCTAGCAGTTATATCAGAAGAGAGTTCTTTTGTCTCAGAATAGTAGTTCCATAATCTGTTAAAAGGCATATCGGCCTTACTCTCAAGCCTATATAATTTTAAGTAGAACTTTAGCGAGCTTTCCTTTTCTATTTTCGAGCGAGGGTAAAGTTTCTTAAAACATGCACGGACATCGATTGGTACACATCTAGGTATTTTAAGAAAGGAAGATTTAAAGGTATTTTCTGGGCTAACTTTGATGAAAATAGAATCCCTTCTGAATTCTTCTTCTACTTCTTCTTCTGTATTCTCTTTCACAGAAAGGGTTTTATTGAAAGTAGTCACATCTCCTAATCTTCCATAATAATTCCATTGTATAATGTCTTCGGAAGTTGCCTGGCGAGTTCTTTCTGACATCTGTTTTCACATCCATTCAATGAGATGTAACTTATTGGCTTTTTCCATAATGAAAGGCCAATCATATTGCGAATCATTAAATCTGAGTTGGATGTCTGGAGCAAATGCCCGCCAACAAAGTGCAAATGCTTTTAGCAAATTAGTTTGCGATCTACATACAATTGTGATCCAGCGTGAATATGGTGCTGTCTCGACATCGACAAGACAAATTTGTTTTAATGGTCTTGGATCATCTTTCTAATGCAATGTTATACAGATCATGATTACAGAAACTTCTTCATTAATTGCTTCAGGAAGTTCTCTCAATCCACGCGAACTATATGTTTCTATGTCCCATGTGAGAACAAGTATACAATCTCTCATAAGCGCTGAAATTGGAAAACGATATTTTAATGATGCTAGGTCTTCTATAGGGTGGAAATTCTCTATAGATACCCAGAAAGTATATGCACAAAGCGGGTTTCTCCTTCCTCCAATTTCACATGTATAATTACTTATTGTAGACCACCCTGATAGTAAAATTCCATATTCACAAGCCACCTTGCAATAGTACGTAAATTGATCATCTGACGCTGTTACATACTTTTTCTTTTGAATAGCTTTCATAACAATTTTTCTTTGCTTAGTGTTGGTTGTGTAAATACACAAATATGACTTTTTATCAGGATGATAACCACGAAATAGATACGCCTTTACATGTTCTATTTTTAACCATTTTATTTCACCAGAGAGGATGGCCCTTATTTTTGTTTCAAACAAATTGGGAGACTCAGCTTCTGGTACGAGAATATCAAAGAAGACTTGAATTCCCGTTATTGAAACAACTGCTTTCTGATCATTGATAAGAGAGCCATAGAGATGCAATATATACCAGGCTTGACCGTTTATGAATTCAGTGGACTCTTCCACATCAATGGCCATAAATAGAATATCTTGATGCTTAGATAAAGCATCTTCAAGAATTGCCGTTAATCCTTCATTGTTTTCTGTGACTAAATTGTCACAGGTTGGAATACCTATCAAATAATCTTCACCAAAGTATCGGAGTAATTGACTGGTTTTTCCATTTTCTGAAATCTGTAATTGAGGAAAAGCTTTGGCCCCCCAGTGGTAGATGGCCCTGTTATTTTCTTCTGGCTCGAAATTTTCTGAGTATTCTGGGCTCTTTGGTCGAGAAGGTAGTATCTCCATCTCTGCTGGCACGTGATTGATGGTTTCTTGAAAATTTTGGGTATCCATAATAC